GAGGTGAGTATCTCAGCTAGTTATTGGAGTCTGCATTCTATTTTCAGTACTGCCTTGATCTTTCCTCAGGTTCTTCTTTTCTCAGGTTCCCACTAAATCTTTCGATGCACTTAGAAAAAACCAGTGGTTAGCTTTGGCTGGATGACTCAGTTGCTTGGAGCATCGTCCCATAAAACAGGAGATTGCAGGTTCAATTCCCCATTAGGACACATACCTAGGTTGCAGGTTCAATCCCTGGTTGGGACGCCTGAAGGAGGCCACAATTTATGTTTCTCTCTCACATTGATGTTTCTCTCTTTCTCCCTTCCTTACTCTCTATAATCAATAAAAAATACTTATCAATAGGTAAGGAGTTTAAAAGAAAGTAAAAAAAAGAAAAGATAAAAACAGTGGTCCAGAAATCACCTCCTAGAGAAACTCTGAAATTTCCACACATGTTAATTTTGGTTGAAGCAGCATGTCTGGTGCCCTAGTTGGTTTGGCTCCATGGGTAGAATGTCAGCCTGTGGACTGAAGGGTTTCAGGTTCTATTCTTGTCAAGGGCCATGCCTGGGTTGTGGGCTTGATCCCCAGAAGGGGGCAGGCAAGAGGTAGCTGATCATTGATTCTCTTTAATCATTGATGTTTCTATCTATCCCTCTCCTTTCCTCTCTGAAATCAATAAAAATATACTTTAAGAAAAACAACAAAAAAAACCCTCCACTTTTATATCTAACCAGGCATTCTTTCTCACTCAGACCTTTTCACTCAACAATTGTTTACTGTTGTGCATACTATTTTCGAGGTGCTATTAGGTGCTGTGATCACAGAGAAGATTATGACCTGGACTTTGCCTTCATGGAACTTTTATGGTCCTTTCCAGCACTGTCACTGCTGTGCCAACACTTTCTTTCTTTTCTTTTCTTTTTTAACTTTTTAATTTTTTTAATTATTATTTTTATTACAGTATTACATGTGAACATTAATACTTTTTATTTACATTTATTTATGTATGTCTACCATGATTCATTTCACAGAGGATTTGAAGCAGCCCTTTAGGCAAAAGCAGTGTTAGAACATACATTTCTTTACTATGTTAGACATCCTTCAAGGGAGCTCTAGAATGTAATTGGGTTGTTTATTTAACTGTGTGTTTAGAGTGCATATAACTTGTTTATAGAGATGTTAAGTGAAAACTGTACTAGTTGCTAATGTGCAAATGTTTTTTTATTTTATTTTATTTATTTATTTTTTTAAATCAATCTTTATTATTTATATTATTACAAAGGTTCCTCATTTCTTCCCCCCTCCACCTGGTTCCCACCCTGCCCTCCGCCCCCTCCCCACCCCCCATTGTCCTCATCCATAGGTGCACAGTTTATGTTCAGTCTCTTCCCGCATCCACCACTCCCCCTTTCCCCGAGAACTGTCAGTCCACTCCCCTCCCGTATCTCCGACTCTACTACAATCAACAGCTAATATTGTTCATCAGGTTTTTCAATTTCCTTTTTTTGTTGTTGCTTTTTTTTTTTTTAATTAATAAACTTCTACACTTCTAAGAATAAATTTTAAAATCTAATAATTTTAAATCTTGTTTTTTCTGCCCTGGGAATTGAGAAGCAAACTTGTTTACATGTAAACTTGCCCTTAGGCTAGGGGTGTCGAACTCAATCAGAGAAGGGGCCAAAATCTAAAATCCAGCCTAAATCTCGGGCCGAATGGTTTACTGAACAGTCATAAACTGTCATTGTGATGGAAATGCAGCGGAGTGCAGTGATGACAGCTTGGTGCGGGCCACATTGCAAGGCCTGGCGGGATGGATTTGGCCCGAGGGCCTTGTGTTTGACACATGTGCCTTAGGCTATCAAAAGGTGTAGCCATTCAAATGTAAATGAACACATTGTCTAAAGACAGCTGCTGGTTGGAATTGGATTACCTGTTCTGGGTGGGAAGGGCTTGTCCTCCCCTTTCTCCATTAAAATTAAGGTGTTAGCTTTAAAACCTCTTTTTGCCAAGAGACCTTAAACTTTCAGAACTTTAAATTTTTCAGATAGTAAATCAGTTACTTAGCATTTTCTCAAATCAATAATACCTCCACATGCCCAAGGATACACTACACACAAAAGACATTTCCAAATAGATCAACCAACATCATCCAGACCCCACACAAGGCACTCACGGATCAACACCCCAGCGCTACAACAACTCAACACATCCAGATCTAAGCCTTCATCACTTGATTCAGCAGACCCTCAAGTTCCCCCAAAAGTTTCCAGCCATGTCTGAGAGGCAGCCCTGGGGCAGGGGCAGGCGAGGCGCGAGCTGTTCCGGGCCTGGCCTCTGTTGCTCTGGTCCGTTCCACAACCAGCTGCTCCAGGTCTGGCACTGCCGCTCCCAGCCTGGCTGCTGCTGCTTCGGGCCTGGCTGCTCCCGACCTGCCTGCTCTGGGCCCAGCTGCTCCGGGCTCGGCCGCTCGGGGCCTGTGTGCCAACACTTTCACTTATAAATAATCCCCTTCCCTTTTCTGTGTTCTTCTAAACTAGAACTTATTTGAGGGTTGTGGGTATTATTAGTAAGACTTCCTTCTTGGCAACCCAAATCCCAATTGTCACAGGCTTTATGACATTTGACTTCTCCCACTTAATTTTTTTTTAAAATATATTTTATTGATTTTTCACAGAGAGGAAGAGAGAGGGATAGAGTTAGAAACATCGATGAGAATCATCGATTGGCTACCTCTTGCACGCCCCCCACTGGGGATGCGCCTGCAACCAAGGCACATGTCCTTGACCAGAATCGAACCTGGGACCCTTCAGTCTGCAGACCGGTTTCAGCTAATTTTTTTATTTATTTACTTTTTACTTCTCCCATTTTATGATCATCAGTCATAATCATTGGTTTATAGTTTTTATTTAAAAATTAAATTAGGCTCTGCCTGGGTAGCTCAGTTGGTTAGAGCATCATCCCAATATGCCAAGGTTTCAGGTTCAGTCCCTGATTCAGGGTACATAAATAAGTGGAACAACAAATTGATGTTTCTCTCTCTCTTTCTCTCTAAAACCAATAAATTTTTAAAAATTATTTTTATATGTAAGTTTAACATGTTGGCTGAAAAAAACTTCAAATATAACATGTATGTACACTAAAAAATAGTCACTTTGTACCCCCTCAGTACCACTTATTACTGTTTCTAGACATTTAAATTAATATGCAAACTTTTAAAAAATGTGTTTTTATTGATTTCAGAGAGAGGGAGAGAAATAGAAACATTGATGAAAGAGAAGCATCCATTAGCTGCCTATACGCCTCCTATTGGGGATTGAGCTCACAACCTCAGCATGTTCCCTGATTGGGAATTGAACTGTGACCTACTGGTTCATGAATCAACACTAAGCCACACCAGCCAGACAATATGCAAACATTTTTACACAAATGGGATTTATAGCTCAGTGTTTTCATTTAATAGTATATTTTATTTTATTTTTTAAAATATATTTTATTGATTTTTTACAGAGAGGAAGGGAGAGAGATAGAGAGCTAGAAACATCGATGAGAGAGAAACATCGACCAGCTGCCTCTTGCACACCCCCTACCGGGGATGTGCCCGCAACCTACGTACATGCCCTTGACCGGAATCGAACCTGGGACCTTTCAGTCTGCAGACCGACGCTCTACCACTGAGCCAAACCGGTTTTGACTTAATAGTATATTTTAGATATCTTCCCATATCATTGCATAAAGGTCTACTTCATTCTTTTTAATGGCTATATAGTTTTCCAATCTAGGGATATATCACAAATATTTAACCAGTTTCTTTTTTTTTTTTAATTTTTAATTTTATTGATTTTTTTTTTTTTTTTTTACAGAGAGGAAGGGAGAGGGATAGAGAGTCAGAAAGATCTATGAGAGAGAAAAATCAATCAGCTGCCTCCTACACACCCCCTACTGGGGATGTGTCCACAACCAATGTACATGCCCTTGATTGGAATTGAACCTGGGACCCTTCAGTCCACAGGCCGACGCTCTATCCAGTGAGCCAAACTGGGTTTCAGCTCACCAGTTTCTTATTGGAGGGTTTTAGATTCATATATACTGATGAAATAGATGTCCTTTTACATGTATTTTTGCTCACTCAAGCAGTATAATGATAAGATAAATTACTAGAAATGAAGTAGTTGGAGGAATTAAAATTTTTGCTGGATAGGATCAATTACCATTTGAAAAATTGTGCCCAATACTCAACAGTGTTTTCTGTTCATGATTTCTCACCTTCTTTACATCATGAATTTTAATCTTTGTTCATTTGATAGATTTAAAAAGCAGTATATTGAGAAAAGCAATATCTCCTTGTTTTAATGTACATTTCTTTAATTATGAGTAAATTTGAGCACGTTTTGATTTTTTTATTAGTCATTTACACTTATTTTTCTGTGAATTATGTACATACCATTTGCTTTTTTAAAAAAGTTATTTTTTTATTACATATCTGGAAGAGTTTTTTATGTTAAGGAAGTAAGTTCTTTGTCATTCAGCAAATGTGGGCTACCCCTTCCCCCCACACTCTCAGTTTGTTTGTGAAATATAGACCTTCAGATTGGGTAGTCTAACTTGCTTACTTTCTAAATGAGGAAATTGAGCCCCAAATAGGATTAGGGTTAGTGCTTTTTTTGGTGGTGATGGGGTGAACGTGTAGTTAGATAGTGGCAGAGCTGAAATCAGCATCCAAGTTTTTTTACTTCCATTTTGGTACTTTTTTCATTATAAAATGCTATTTTTAAGGCTTATCCCCTCCCTCTTGCACCATTGCATTTTACCACTAGTTCTTAACAACCTGAAGTTTCATGTAAACTTTTTTACTAGCCTGGTATTAAAATTTGAGAAGCTTTAGGGCTGTATTGGAGCCCAGGAGACTTCACAGGTATTAGCTTGTTTCTAAAGTTTATAACTAAACTAGATTCTCTATATGGCAGTTACATTTATGTCCTTTTTGTTTGTTTAAAAAAAACACTTTTGTTTTATAGGTTCATGGGTGTATGTGTACATCAAGGACAATTGCATGCACTTACAGAGGTAAGACTTCAATAAACATGTTGAAGGTGACTTCTTTGCCTTAGTTTCAGCAATTTATGGTTCCATAGTGATTGTTACTTGCATAAGTAAGCAAAATGTGTGTGCATTTACGTTCATGCAGAGTTAACAATGCTTTCTTCTGTTGCCTGGGGACAATGGCCATATCTCTTAATCCTCTTGGATATCCTCAGAATACTTGATAAATACTCTGACACTATGGGGGCTCAAATATTAAACTGGTTCTTGCTGCCTGCAACAAATTCCCAGACTACCCAGAAATGTTTGGTGTCCTGATACCACTGTCACTGCTGTAGTTTCCTGGTTGGTCATATTACTCCTTGGAATCAGTTTACACCTCCATTCTCATTTCATTTTTCTGACTCTTTAAGGCAGATAAATGTGTAATAGTGATTACTGAGCCTCTGAGGACCAGAGAATCCTCCCTAGAGCAGAGGCTTTCCAATTCAGGCACTGAGTTATCAGCTTCAGAATTTGCTTGGGTGCTTCTTAGAAACACAGATTTCTAGAATCTTCTAGGTTTAATAGGTCCGCATAAGGCCCATAGGTATTAAACACTCCCCAGATTATTGTAATGAGCAACTAGATTTTAGAATCTGTTCTAGAATATTTTCACATTCCTCTTGAGAAGTAAGTACTAAAATACAAAGTGAAGAAACTTAGGAAAGAAAATAGTTTTACAGAATTTGCAAGGGTATCCTGTTGGCTTGGTGCCTGGTATTAGTCTTATGAAGGAAGGTCCCATGTGCCTCTCTGTGTGTCTCTTTTCTTACTGAGGGCACCAGAATGAGGGATGTGTGTAGCTATGTGCTACCTTTTATATAGAAGGCCGAAAAGGTGGAATAGTGAGGTGGGTAAGAGCATGGGCTCTGGCCTGGCCCACATGGCTCAGTGGTTAAACATTGACCTATGAACCAGTAGGTCATGGTTTGATTCCTGGTCAGGGAACATGCCTGGGTTGTGGGCTCGATCCCCAGTGTGGGTGTGCAGGAGGCAGCCAGTCAGTAATTCTCTTTTATCACTGATATTTTTTTTATATATATATGTTGTATTGATTTTTTTATCACTGATATTTCTATCTCTCCCTCTCTCTTCTACTCTGAAGTCAAAAAAAAAAAAAAAAAAAAAAAGGAGTATGGAATCTGAAGTCTTTGATTATCTAGTTTTGAATCTCACTGTGCCTCAATGTTTTCATCTGGAAATAATAATAATAGTACCTGCCTCAGGGAGTCTGGATAGAGAAGAGGACCAATACCTAAGCCCTAGGAGTATTTCAATGTTAAAAGTCTGGGAGAAGGGCAGTTTTAGGTGTGGCTAGTGAGGTAGGAAGAAAACCTGGAATGGAAAGGAAGAAGGAGTTTCAAGGAAAATAGAATATTAATTGTGGCAAATGCTGCTGCTAATGATCTCACAGGGATGTTGTGAGGAAGAAATGTAAAACATTTATTTAGCACAGTGCCTGGCATATAGTAATTGCTAAATGCATTTTAACTATTAGAGCTTTTATTAATAACAGTGACTAGTGCCTCTTGAACTCCTCGAAATGTCAGTATTTTTTATTTGATCTTAGATCCATGCTGTCTTAAATTTTTTAAATCTTTTATTGAAATAAAGCATAACAGATAAAACACACATATGAAAAGTGTACAGCTTACTAAATTGTTATAAATGAACACACCCATAACCAGCATCCCAGATCAAGAAACATTTTCTGTGTATTTCTTTTCTCAGAAGTGAGTCTATAAATTCTTCAAAGACAATCCTCTCCTTTCAAGCCTTCTATCCGCCAGAGTTCTGACACTAATAATTGTAAAAGTATTTATTATTCCCTGCGTATATCATTGTTCTCTGTAATGTGAGTTCATTGAAAGGAATTGTATATTGGTTTTGCTGACGTGCTTTAATATTAGTGATCATGTTGCAAATTTAGAAGTGGACTCTAATGGGAATGGTAGAAATTAATGACTTTTATACAATATTCTCTTGGCCATGTTGCACTTAAATGTTTTCTGTTGCTTTTTAGTTTGTTTATAGCCATACATAACATTGCAATGGGTATTTTGTGGAAGAGTGTGTTTTTCTAGTATCATTAATGAGATACTGACATAGCTTATGATATTAATACTTTTTATTATGATATTAATAGACTAATGGTCATAAAGTCCAAATATCCAAAAGGTCTTGGATATTTTTGGGAGGGGATCGACAAAAGTCATCATGGCATGGGTCTCTGGACTCTTACATTAAATTGCCTTATAATTTTGGCTTGGCAGCACAGCTCTTGGTTTCACTAAATTCTTAAAAATAAATTACTAATAACATCTAGCACAGCTCTTGGAACTTGTATGACATTTAGTAAATATTTTCTGATTGGTACTATGTCTGCTCTCCACAGTGATATATCATTCCTTATTTCTCTTGGAATAGTTTGTCAATAATTATAGTAGACAAGTATAGCTTTTATTAATGTCTGTGAAGTAGTGATATTAGGAAGAATATTTCTCACATTCAGTAGTGATCTGGACTCTTCTGGGCTTGAATCATTCCCACAAATCTTTTTAAAATATGTTTTTTAAATTGATTCGAGAGAGAGAGAGGAAATGAGAGAGAGAGAGAGAGAGAGAAAGACATCGATAGAGAAACACCTATGGTTACTTCCTGTACACTGATTGAATTATGAATTCATGCCCTAGCTGGTTTGCTCAGTGGATAATCATCTGCCCGCAGATTGAAGGGTTGTGGGTTCAATTCCCATCACTGGCACATACCTTGGTTGCAGGCTCTGGTTGGGGAGTGTGTGGGAGGCAACCAATCGATGTGTCTCTCTCACATTGATGTTTCTCTCTGTGTGTTCCCCCCTTTTTTTCTACTCTTTAAAAATCAATGGAAAAATATCCTTGGGTGAAGATTAATAAAAGGGTGCTGAGAAAATTGGTTACCCATATGAAAAAAAAAAAAAAATTCATATTGTGTTGAGTAGGAATGCTCCTTAAGTATGTCTTTAACTCAGAAGAACTTGTCTTTCACGCATATCAAGGAAGTGCAAGTCTTTGGTTTTTATTTTTAAAAATTATTTTGTTGCTTATGATTTAACGACTACCTCAAACCTATTTTATTTATTTATTTATTTATTTTTGAGAGAAAGCGAAACATCAATTTGTTGTTCCAGTTATTTTTGCATTTATTGGTTGCTTCTTGTGTGTGCCCTGACCAAAGATTGAACCTGCAATCTTGGCATATTGGGATGACACTCTAACTAACTTAGCTACCCAGCCATGGCTGAAATCTTTGTTTTTTAAAGACAGAAAATATAACCCTGTATATCAGTTAGCTATTGCTATATAATATCCAACCACAAAACTCAAAGCATACAGCAATAAACTTTTATTTCTCATAAGTCTGCAGGATTTAGCTGAGTTGAGCTGGGCCCAGATGGAAAATCTGCTGGTCTCACTTGGATTCACTCATGTATCAGTGGGTCTGTGGTGATCTGCTCTAGGCTGAGTTTTACTGGGGCAACTTTGCTCCAGCTGTTTCTCATATTTCCTTCTAGGTCTAGTAGGCTAGCCTGGCTATGTTTTAAGAGGAAACCAGAATAGCAAAAGTATGTCAGCCCTATTTGCACAAGTGCTTTTCATGATTCTTCTCATCTTCAAATTTGCTTGGCCAACATCCCATTGGACAAAGCAAGTCACATGCCTGAGTCCACATTGGAGGCAAAATTACATGTCAATGGGCATGGATTTAGTAAGGAGTGAAGAATTGGAATAATTGTTGCAAACTTACATACCCTATAAATATCCCAATTATTAAACCGTAATTGTTTGTCCTTTCTACCTTACTTTCTCTTTTTAAAATAAACTTTCTTTAAAAAAACACACATAACTACCAGTTATTAAACACCACTGTAGTTACGTGCTTTTGTATATTAACATAAGTATCAAAATTCTGTAGTCCAATTTCCTCCATTTTATAGGTGAGAAAACTAAGTCTTAGAGAAATTAAGTAAGTTCCCCTAAGTAGGATTTGTATCCAGGTTCACCTGACTTCAAAGGCTATACTGTTTCCATTGCAACATGCTGTCCTTCATTCATTTATGTATCCCCACATTACTGAGTGAGCATGGGCTCTTGTATGTGTAGAATGAGTATGAGTTTTACTAATTTGCTATACATGTTGGGTAATTTGGAAAATATATTCCCTGGTTATTGGGTATATTATAATGTATTTGAGTGCAAGTAACAAAAAATAGTTAAATGGACATAAAAAAGAAGGCTCATATAACTGGAATTCCAGCAGCTTATTAGGTTAAGGGTTCGTTTGATTCAGCAGCTATGAGACGCTATCCAAAGACACCACTTCTTTCTGTCTCTGCTCCATCTTTACATTGTCAGCTTCATCCTAAGGTTGACTGTCATTCATAATTTAAAAAGTAGCTGCCACCAATTTACATGTTATAATTTTTCTCTTCCATATACAAGACGGAGGGTGCAGGTCAAAGAAAGAAAGAAGAGGAAGGTACTTCTGGGCAGATTATGTGTCATTTCATAAAGCTATTCTTTTTTAATCTTAAAGACACGGAGAGGGAAATATCTTTGTAATCAGTTTGTGAAGCCTCTTTGTGCAGAACCTCTCAGTGCCTATGAGACAGGGAATTTGGAGAATGAGTAGGGTATATGGTTGTGGGGCAGGGGTCCCAAGTAACAATACTTGAGTGAAAGGAGTCAGCAAAAATTGCTTGGTAGATAGGATTTTGGAGGTCTCTCTTGCTTTTTCTGCAGGGAGAAACTATTGTTTCCCCCCCACTGTGCCACTGAGAACCACTAAGATAGAAACACAACAATTGCTTGACCAAGTGAGGTGATATAGTCTCTTTACAGCAATGTCTCCTCAGTCTGGCAGATATTTGGTACAGAAAGAAATGCTTTTAGCTCATGAGAGAATGGATCAGCCCTGCAAGGCGACTACAGATAATTTAGCCC